CGTAACAATATGGCCTAGGTAAACCTAAGACATTAAAAATATTATAATATGAAACGTATGGCCTAGGTAAACCCAATACCTTAGAAAAATTGTCCATGAAACATATGGCCTAGGTAAACCCAAAACCTTATAAATATTATAAATGAAATATATGGCCTAGTTGAATTCAAAACCTTAGAAAATTGTACATCAAACATATGGCCTATGTAAACCTAAAATCTTAGATAATGATACATAAACGTAATACCTTAGTAAACCTGAAATATTAGAGAATTATACATAAACATGATGCCTTGGTAAACCTAAAATCTTTGAAAAATTATACATGAAACATATGGCCTAGGTAAATGCAAAAATTTGTAAAACATTATACATTTATCTTTAAGTTTTAATAGGAGAATGGCTTGATATCCATCACACTAGTAATCTCTATGAAACACAATATTGGAGTAGTGTAAAAGTGTACATCTAACTTTAAGACATAATAAGTACTTATTTGCTTCTTACAGCCCAGACTGTCCAAACCAACCTAAATTCCACCACGTTCCGTACAAATATTCGCCTGGCAGCTGAGTTACAGATATTTGACAATGGAACAGGAAGTAAAGAGGTAAACCTTATCCTGATAGTTAGAATGTGGAACAGGGAGTAAAGAGGTAAACCTTACCCTGACAGTTAGAAAGTGGAACTCGAAGTAAAGAGTTAAAACTTACCCTTATAGTTAGAATGTGAAACAGGAAGTAAAGAGTTAAACCTTACCCTGATATTTAGAATATGGAACAAGAAGTAAAGAGGTAAACCTTACCCTGATAGTTAGAATGTGGAACAGGAAGTAAAGAGTTAAACCTTATTCTGATAGTTAGAATGTGGAACAGGAAGTAATGAGGTAATCCTTACCCTGATATTTAGAATATGGAACAGGAAGTAAAGAGGTAATCCTTACTCTGATAGTTAGAAATGGAACAGGAAGTAAAGAGTTAAACCTTACTCTGATAGTTAGAATGTGGAACAGGAAGTAAAGAGTTAAACCTTACCCTGATATTTAGAATATGGAACAGGAAGTAAAGAGTTAAACCTTACTTTGATAGTTAGAATGTGGAACAGGAAGTAAAGAGGTACTCCTTACTCTGATAGTTAGAATGTGGAACTCGAAGTAAAGAGTTAAACCTTACCCTGATATTTAGAATGTGGAACAGGAAGTAAAGAGGTAATCCTTACTCTGATAGTTAGAATGTGGAACTCGAAGTAAAGAGTTAAACCTTACCCTTATAGTTAGAATGTGGAACTCGAAGTAAAGAGTTAAACCTTATCCTGATAGTTAGAATATGGAACAGGAAGTAAAGAGTTAAACCTTACCCTTATAGTTAGAATGTGGAACTCGAAGTAAAGAGTTAAACCTTATCCTGATAGTTAGAATATGGAACAGGAAGTAAAGAGTTAAACCTTACCCTGATATTTAGAATATGGAATGGGAAGTAAAGAGTTAAACCTTACTCTGATATTTAGAATGTGGAACTCGAAGTAAAGAGTTAAACCTTACTCTGATAGTTAGAATGTGGAACTCGAAGTAAGGAGTTAAACCTTACCCTTATAGTTAGAATGTGGAACTCGAAGTAAAGAGTTAAACCTTATCCTGATATTTAGAATATGGAATGGGAAGTAAAGAGTTAAACCTTACCCTGATATTTAGAATATGGAATGGGAAGTAAAGAGTTAAACCTTACCCTGATAGTTAGAATGAAGATGAAGAAAAAACATTTTAATTTACAATAACTTCGTTGTTTCGGAATACACTTATTCTATGAACGAAATCTTGAAATAATATTATAATCATATATGTTAACTAATGGTATAGTAAATAATATTATAATGCTACGTATTAACTAATGGTATGGTAAATAATATTGTAATGATATGTATTAACTAATTCTATAGTAATTAATATTAAATCATATGTTTTAACTAATTTTATAGTAATTAATATTATAATCATATATGTTAACTAATGGTATAGTAAATAATATTATAATGATACGTATTAACTAATGGTATGGTAAATAATATTGTAGTGATATGTATTAACTAATTTTATAGTAATTAATATTATAATCATATGTGTTAACTAATGGTATGGTAAATAATATTATAATCATATGTGTTAACTAATGGTATAGTAAATTCATTAACTAATACTCATAATGTTGAGTAAAGTGGTAAACGGAAGGAAAGGTTACAGGAAGTGTTACATTTCGTGATATATTCTATAATTTTCATTTCCTTCCGTTATGTGATTGTTAGGTAACTCTGTGAAGTTGGTTTTGAGGGAAGAATATATGAACTAAACGTTCTGTCGAATCTTTTGTTTGAACTTGCAGATATTCCGAGTTCAGAAGTTTCACCTCACACCAGTGGATAAAGAAGAACACGGAACATTTTTTAGTGAAAACTGTTACATTGTTGTGTACGCTTATAATGATGGGGAAAAGGATAATTATATTGTATATTATTGGCTGGTAATAATCTTAATGTCTGTTTGTTTTTGAAATGTCTACATTTATAATTCCAATAGTTAAAAACATTTTGATTACTTTGTAACAAACAATTACCGTTAATGAAACATAATGAAAAATAATATAAATAAATTAAGGTATTGTCAGATAATTTTTGATGAACTATAAAAAGTACACTGAGTGGTCACAAGTAAATAGACACCTAATTTTTC